TTTTTGAGTTCAGATTATTTGACAAAAAAAGTATTTAGTTTTGAGTTGTGATTTGATTTAAGAGTATTGAGTTTTACAAAGAATTAATAATTGAAGTTTTTGAATAAAGAGAATCTGATTTTGAGTTTGATTAAAGAGTATACAATTGAGTTTTTGAGATCACTTAGTTTTGAATTGAGATTGAAAATAAATAGTAATGGAGAAATAAAGTTTTATGTTTTCTATTGAGTTTTGAGATTGTTTGACATAATTGATTGAGATAAAGAGAATATTAAATAACTATAATAAATTGGAGAATTGAGTTACGTCGAGTATATTGGAAGATACAATTCTGGGGAATTCCAAAGGTAAATATACGAAAGTGTCAAGAGACTCTTAACGAATTACACACACAACTTCCTTACACATCGTTACATTCACACGTAAAATTGTATTTGAATACAGAATACTGTACTATTGTATTATTTGGATTTTTACACAATATATATTTATATACAACTATTTAAATATTTGTTTAATCTTTTCTTTCAAATATTCCTAAACCAATTGTTCTATTAATATGGAATCTCAACCAACTCACTGAATAAAAGTGAGGTAAGGAGGGGATACACTACCTATACAATATAGTTTGTCCGAAGGCAACGTATGTTAAAGTACCAAGATCTTTTAGAGTTTTTGAAAATAGCAATCTTTAATTGATATTGATAAAAACTAATTTTCTAATTTTCAAAATTCATCTTTAACATTCACTGCACTTTAAACCGTTTTTCTAAATTTAAAACTTTCATAACCTTCTTTTATAATTATAATTAGATGTCAGTTTTTCAAAATGTTTAAAAAGTCAAAATTTTATTTTTTCAAGGGCAAAAAAATTTTGTTTTGAAAAATTGTTTATATTATTAGAAAGTGCTTAAAAAAAGAGCAACAAAATTCATATATAATAAATCATCCATATATCATAATTTTTGTAATGTTTTAAAGGAACTACATATTTTTGAAATAAAGCATGTAACTCAAAAAATAAAAACTTTGACCCCTTCTACTTTTTACAATTGTTTAAACAAATTAAATAATAATCTTTGGTATTTGAAGTTGTATTTAGTAAAAAAATTCGGTTAAATGCAAAATTTGTTAAATTAAAATGTGCTTAAACAAAAATTTAAGAAAATAACAATTCGGTGAGGTAGAAAGAAACCTTATTTAAATAAATGTACCTGGTATTTTAAAGTAAACAAAAATCTTAAAAAATTTATTTTTACTAAAAGATATTTTAAGAAAAAAGATAAATACTTGAGTTTTTCTGCTTCGGCTGCAGGTGAACCCTCCTCCTCTTTTTCCGCAAATTTCTTTTTCTTCTTAGTCATTTTAGTTTTTTCTCTTTTTCTTCACTGATCCAAGAGCGGGCTAAATCGATGCAATAAAGAAAATTTTGTACTTTTTTTTTCTTTTTTTAAGCGAAAAATCAGAACCTGAAAAAAATGAAATACACAATTTGTTTTTATAAAATTTGTTATTCATCATTATTTGACTATAATTTTCAACTTAGCGAAGGGTCCACTGCCTTTCGTCTGAAATTCGTTACGACTATATTTAAAAAAGTCTAGTTTTAATATATGTGAAACTCCACGTTTTTTTAAGTTCATTACTCCATAATATTAATGCACAAATTTTATTTCCTTGAATAATATTAATTATTAAAAGTAGGTAATTCATGATTAGATTTCGTTACCTTATATTTTTTAATTTTTAAACAACTAAATAATTGAAAAAATATTAAAATGAAATATTGAATCTTACCAAAAACATAAATCATTCTATTGTGTTATAAAATATTATTATCCATTTGAGAGGCATGACGCCAATTTAGCGTACAATATGGACGCCGTTTCGCTTAAGAGGTTAATGGATAAAAAGCGATTTTGAATTCCACACGGAAAGAAGGTTACACTTAAAAACACGGTGTAAGCACCTTATTTCTAAGTTGCGACACATAGAAATAATGTGCTAAAGTTGTCACCATCTTTTTCCGTGCATTTCAATGCCCTCTGTCGGTGCACGCATGCGGAATTACCATGCATGCATCGAAATTTTCGGTGTGTACACATGAAAATCCTGTGCCTGCTTTCTTTCCGTGCAATCTGAAATTTTTTTCGAGGTCCGACAAAAAAGTTACAACTAAAAAAATGTAAAATTTTTTGAGAAAAAATTTTTAAAAATCACTTTTTATCAAATAATAATAAATTTTTCTAATATATAAGTTTCAATATCTAATATTTAATAGTTTAAAAAAAAATGGAAAATTTAAGGCTTCTAAATCACATCATGAACCACCTACTTTTAATAAGTAATATTATTATAGAAAAGAAAATTTTCGCATTAATATTATGGGATAATGAACTCAAAATGTCGTCGAATTACACATATGGGGGATCACACGTGAAGCTTTTTCGATTGGTAATATGCATTTTTGGAAAAAAAAATTTTTGATAAAAAAAATGAAATTCAAAAATAAGACTGTTTTGGGGTGTTTTTTCCTACAAAAATATATAGTTGAAAAATGGGACAAGAATGTTTAAATATTGAAAAATAGTAAAAAATGATTAAAAATGGTCAAAAGAAGAAAAAACGTTAATTATCAATATTTAAACATTCTTGTCCCATTTTTTCAGTTATATATTTTTGTAGGAAAAAACCTCAGCTTTCGATTAAAGAAGAAAAAATCGTACCTTTTACTCCGAAATAGTCAAATTTATTTTTGAGTTTCATTTTTTTTTGGTCAAAAAATTTTTTTTTCCAAAAATGCATATTACCAATAGAAAGAGCTTCAAAAAAAGCTTTCGAAACTGATAGTGATAAAAAAATTTTATTTTGATATTTAAGAAAAAAAAATTATTAAAACATGCGATGTTCCGTAAAACCCCAAAATTTTCACCTCCTTCCCCTCAGAAAATATTGGACTAAATATTTACCAAAAATTAACATCCATGAGTACTACAGATGCCCTGAGTTTAAGCGAGATCGGAGAAAAATTTTTTTGAACTTTGATCGCTTTTCGAGTGATCCCCATATATTAAAACTAAATTTTTTAAATATAGTTGCAATAACGACATTCAGACGAAAGTCAGTAGACTGACCGTGTAATAGTTTTATTCTTAATTCATCATGACTTAAACTTTAATTTAAGATTAACAATTCTAATTTTGTTATTTAAAATAAAATTAACTCATATTAATTGTAATAAGTATTAATATTAAAAAAAAATAAAATTATAATAGTTAATAACCTTTTACTACCTGTATCTCTTTCCATAGCTTCAGCTGAAAAATAAGTTTATTTACATTTGTTAAATTTAATTTAATAATATAGGGGAGAGTAGTTAGGGTTGGACAATGGTCAGGGTTGAGCCATCGCGTTTATTTTGTTTTATCACACATTTGTTAGCAATGTCAAAGAACTTTTCACATACGTTGCAGTGAAGTGTGAGAGCAATAAAGACGTATTATGCGAGTCACTGCTATACGATCAATAAAAAACTTTTTTGTTGTTTCAAAAGAAGACAATTAAGTGCAGAAAAAATATTTCGAAGACAAAGTAACTTGACTAAAATTGTTCATTAAGATGTTATATAAAAATGTGGAACGTAATATGGTGTCTAGATCACGCGTTTATTTTTGTGTGTGATATGACGATAAACGACGCGTGAGTCAGGGTTGAGCCACCCAAAAATTTTGCAATTATGAAGGATTCTTGCAATGGAAATTCATTTGTCTACTTAAAGAGGTGTCAAAAAATTCATTTCCATTGAAAAGAAAGGAAATAAAAATTTTTTATAATTTTTTTTACTTTTCAGACCAGCTTCGCGATACAAGCGAAAATATGATAATTACACAATAAGGGCTTTTTATTTGAATTTTGTGGTTCCTTTACACATTTCCAAGTGTATTTAAGCGCCATTCTATCATTTTAAGATCATTATTAATCATTTATCTGCATATTTCATTGATTTTCTACAGTGGCTCAACCCTGACTACTTTTTTTTTAATTGACTATAACTCAGAAACTTTTGGTCAAATATTTTTACAATGTTCAGCAAAAACATTGCATTTTAGTAGATCTTTCGAACCATATGAGAGAAATTTCAAAATTCGGTCCACAGGGGAAGTTATACAGAAAAGTTAAAACTATGTCCAACCCTGACTACACTCCCTTATATTTCAAATTTTGCATTAAATGTATACAAATCAATTTGTTTCTGGTTTTTCAGAAACATTTTTCTTTTTTTTTTTTTGTACAAATTCTCACAACTTATTGACAATAAAAAAAGTTCATATTTGGAACACACTAAAGCAATTTCCGAGGATTATATCGATCTGCTTGCAATGAAGAAGAAAACCAGGAAATTGCTTTCGAGGAACCGCATAAAGTCAAAAAGTAGAAAAAATGACTGTTTTTAAAATATCAAATTGACAAAAATTGGTATTGTGGCGTTTTATGAGAAATGACAATATAGGAATAAAAAGGAATTTAAACTATATTATTTCTGCCACGCGATTAATTTTTTTCAAAGGATTGATCCATTTCTCAGCCACTGAATCATTATCATCCTTGTATTCATCATAAAGAATTCTCTCGTTTTCATTTTCCTCAATCATCGGATCTTTTAAATTCAACATCGTTACGTATTTTTTCTTTTACTTATTTTTTTTCGTTCTGAAACTCTGAAGTAACACTTAGAACATTTAATTCTGACTCTTCTTTTTCTAAATTCCGCTTGATCTGCATCTATATTTGTTAATTAAATTATTTTATTATAATCAAAGTAATTGTATATTAAAATAATTGTTATACAAAATTTTATTACAATTTTTAATTTAATAATTATTTAAATTTTATTATGTAAAAGTAGCAAAAAAAATGTAATATTATTTGTTAATTATAAATGGTTGATAATTATTTATTTTCAGCAGAAATTATCGAAGGAAATAAATTTGTATACAAACTTTATAAGGTAAAGCACAAATATTTATTAATTTAAAGCAATCATTATAACTAATTTTGATTACAATTGTATAAATATTTCACAGTAATGTTTACAATCAATACATAAACAGTGAGAATTTTATATTGAGCAACTTCATTTTAAGTATCAGGTAATTTAACAACTGCTCAGGAGTGGGATTCCGATAAGAGACACCGCTATATAGAGCATTGTACTATATAGTGCAAAATTTAAAAAAAATTAAACACATTTGTTGTAAATAATGTTTATAATTACTTAGCGTTTCAATTTTTAAAAAACTTTTAAATACCGACGTGTATAATAAAAAACAAAATCGACTAGTGCTATGAAATAGCAAATTGACACCGACATTCAGTCAAATTGCTACCTAGAATAGAAACAAATACATTGGTGCTATTAGGGCAATGCTTCATAGCACTGAGTGCTATGTGTTCAAATGAATAATATGAGTCAAGATGGAGGGTTTTTTAATAAACCATCGCGAAGATAATCGGGAGTTATTTAGGTTGTTAATTAAGAATATATGTCGGAAAAAAATAAAAATTTTACTTAATTTTTTTAACAATAAAATTTCAATTGTACTTAATTTTTTAAAAAATTGTTATTCGGGGCTCAAAATATGATTAATTTTGAAAAAAAGTCCGCCATATTGTATCGGCCATTTTGGATTTTGAAAATCTGACTTCAGATTCTGAATCAGCGACCCCGAAAACCCTCGAATAATATATTTGAGGACAATTTCGTTTAATTATTGGTCAAAAAAATAGTTTGAGAGTCATTGGCAGTTTCAGATCATCTATTCCATGACAAGTATAGACGTCATAAACCGCCAAAGGGTTAAAAAGTGACTATTGATCTGTAGTATATGACTATCTTAACTTGCAAGTGAGAAATATTAAATGAAATGCTTTTTTTTTAAATTTGTTTAATATGTCTTCTTTTGATAAAATATCTTCCGGCGCTACATAGCGATAGCGCCAGCGCTATATAGCGCGGTACTATATAGCACTGTCGCTTATCGGAATCCCAGCCCAGGTTAAAAATGTCTACGATACAAATTTTACTTAATTAAAATTCAAAAAATACAGAAAAACAAAAAGTAAAATGTTAGTAAGGACTAGGAAAATGGACGTACATAAATTTTCAAACTGTAAAGGCGCCGTCCCATGACAGCGTGAAACGCCGGCGTAATGCTGATTCTACACTCACCGAAAACTGAGCGAGCGGTCCGCTTTTCCGTCACGCTTCCCATATTTAACTATATCTATATATATTTAAAAAGCGTAACGTAAATGCGGACCTCTCCCGCAGTTTTAGGTGAGTGTAGAATCAGCATAAAAGCGGAAAGCATGAGAACGAAACAGACGAACATATCTCACTATCTCTTTCGTTCTCATGCTTTCCGCTTTTACGCCGCCGTTTCACGATGTCATGGGACGGTGCCTTTAGCGTATTTTTGATAGGGCCGTTTCCCAATTGGGATTTTTCGCGCATACTTGATAAAGTGTATACTCGGGAAGTATGAAGTGTCCTTGTTTTTCCGTGCGAAAAAAAGGACACTGCATACTGCCCGAGTATACACTTTATCAAAAATGTGCTAAAAATCCCAATTCAGAAACAGTTACAGTTGAACCGTACACTACTCGATCATTACGCCCTCGTCTTTATTGCATATTCTCCCTCATGTAAAAGCTTAAATTTACGATTAAAGGTTTCATTCTGCGTTGGCCCATTTATTTCACGTACCCGACTCTGTTGTTCTTAAGACTTAATACGACAGTGTTTACAAGTTTCAGCTTTCAGGTGGCAAAGATCAATGACTTACCCTCCACCTCACTAACTTTTCACCTTTGTTTTTTATTTATATTTTATAAAATAGAACAATTTTTTAATAAATATTTTCTGATTCATATGTACAGTGTGTATATTTCGACATATATAAAAATATCAATTTTTCACCTGAGTAAACATTTTCTTTCATAAATCTATCTACATAAATTACAGTTAATTAATACCTACGGAAAAAATCTTTGGTGCATATTAACTAGACTAATATTCTTAAAAATTTAACTCTGACAAAAAAGGAATAAAATTTTTAGAGATTTATTTCAGTTAATTGTTAAGTATTCTAATTGTAAGGCACATTTTTTTCATCCATATGGTTGATAAGCGAAAAATCACAATATTCAATCGAAGGAAAATTTTTATATTTATATCAAATCAATTTTAATACAGATTTAATTAATTTTTGTATTCCGTAAAATAATTGTATTAAGTTTTAACTAATATTTTTGTATCAAATTTTAAACAAGTGAAATTTAATTTTAAACATAATTTTTTATCGAATAATAATAATAATTATGTAATAAAGATTAGATTATAAAATAACAAATTGAATTTTTTTAAAATTGCAATTTTTATCGCAATTAACCACAAAATTAAATACTGTATTTTTAATGTATTGGCTACTCTAGAAATTCGCTAATTGAAAAAATCTTATTTAAGTAAAAAACCTTGCAAAATACTAGTTCTTTAATATTTACCGTTTCTTCGATTCAATAATAAATAACGAAGATCAAAGTTTCTGTTTGAAATGGAGACGTTTTTCAGATGATTTGTCACTGTAACAGAAAAAACAAAAAAAAAAGATTAATATTTTTTCATTTCACTATAATTATTTTACGGTTAAATTATAAATACTTTACAAAAAAATTTTAATAGGTTACTAATTAAATTGCAATAATCAATTAACAATTGTATATAAAAACATTTTTCTGAAAAGTATAATTATTTAATTATAGCTTTCGAAAACAATCTGAAAAATTCATGTAAAAAAATTTTGTACAAAGAATTATTTAAACCATAAGTAGACAAAAATAATTTTGAAAAAAATTCTTAAACGAAAAAACAATTATATAATATGGTCTTGCATAATAATTTTCCTACTCCGTGTTATGTGATATACCTAAAAGAAATCATTAGAGTATATTTGAAAATGATTAAAATCTGTGGACTAATAGTAACACAAAGAATTTTAACAAACATACTCAAAAAAAAAAAATGTCAACAATTTTTAAATATGGACCGTTAATGGAAGAATTATTGATATTCGATATTCAGTTACACTCTCAAAATATTGAAATAAGTGATTTACGTGAGGGTAATTCAATCAATGATGCAATAAATATGAAATATTTAAAATAATTTTAAAGATTAAAATAAAATTTTACGCTACAGAAATATTTTAAACATAATTTAAATGTAAATATAAATTTATCAATATGTAAAAGTTTGGCCGTTAACCTAAAAGCTAATTCTATTTAAATAAAAATCAAACGTCATTTCCTGCGTTTGAAACACTAAATTTTCATTTCACGATGTGCCTTCGTTAGGATCACAGTGTGAATAGTTTCTAAGTGCAGTGATTCTTTATAAATTGTCGGATCTAATTTTTCGTTACATATTATTGGGCAAATTAATAAACAAGGTAAATTATTTTATTTCAATGCATTTGATTGTTAGCATAAATTTCATTTTTTTTTTATTTATTACAAAATTTTTTAACATCTCAAAAATAAGACATGACATTTTGTATTTCCAAAAAAATAATTATTGTGCTAATTTGTAATGCAAAATTTTAAAATTTAAGTTTAAAAAAAAATCATTTTATACCTCAAAAATGCCACTTATATTTAATTGAAAACAAACAATTGTGCAAGACCAGAATAGAAACTCATACAACAATTTTTAATTCAAAAATATTATTCTCCAAAAGCAAATTTTGTGAATTGTGCTCATCCAGCACAAAAAAAATCAATTGTAACATTTTCCAAAACTTAAAATTCAGTTTTAAAATTCGATATTAGGTTTTTATCCAAAAATATTCAAAAATTATTATTATTATTCAAAAAAAAATTTGTGCTGAATTGTACTAGTCCAGCACTAAAAGAAACAATTTTGCACAAAATTTTCACTATTGTTTTTATTGTAATCAGCGCACCAAAATACGTTAGTATACCAAGTTTTATTAAAATCGGCGAGGGGACGCTTTCGGAACTTTACCCTATTAAAGTTTTAAATACTCAATATTGTCAGAAAAAAATGGACAACTTTAAACAGCCTTAATTTCGAAAGGTTGAGATTTTAGCGGTCCCTCCCCTTAATAATAATCATAATTTTTAAATTACATAATAAAAATAATCTTCTATAGATGAATGTCCTTACATTAAAACCGGAAAATTCAATACCGGTATTCTATGCTGGAAGGAGTATATTTATCACGGGGGCAACTGGATTTATGGGTAAAGTGCTCATCGAAAAGTTATTAAGATCCTGTCCTGACATTCAAGAAATTTTCTTGTTGATGAGACCGAAGAAAGGAATTTCAATTGATGATCGTCTTCGAAAAATGCTTGCAACACCCGTAAGAGCCTTTTTAATATTATAAAATCATATATAATTATTTACAGTATTTACAAAAGTATCGTCTGTTAAATGAGAAACTCATGTAATTGCACGTTTTTTCAAGATTTTTGAAGTTAGATCTTTGGTTTTGCGCCATACAGTCTTTATGACTCAAATCTAAACAAAAATTAAAGAATAAAATCTTTATCGTTAAAATACACAAATACGCTTTTCATGACGAAGAGAAAACTAAAAAATTTTTTTTTGAAAATTTGGGACCATTTTGAAAAAAATTAATTCTTTTTATAAACATTCTACGAAAAACAATGTTTAAAATTTTTTTAAAAAAAGTGAAAACACATTTTGAGAAAAACGCATTTAAAGTTTTCGATACAAAAAAGTAGTATTTTAACTATTGCCTTCTTCAGAAATAACTATATCACTTACACTATGATATACTATTACTTGTTAATACTAGTACTAATTAACTAATCATTAATTAACTAATGCTGAATCACTATTTTTTCGCTTTTTTGTCAATATAATTTGATTAATTATTAATAAAATTATATTGACAAAAAAGCGAAAAAATAGTGATCTCACGCGCATTGTTAACTGTATATGGTAGTATTCTTATGTATACTATAGAGACATTTATAATTTGAATTATAGATTAATAATGTAGGATTATATTCTACAGATAGTAAACTAATTTTTAAAGCAAAACAAAAAATGTAAAAAATTTTTTTTACAGAGTTTTCCCCTTTTAACACGAATACAATTTTTTTTCTCATTATTTCTCATTATTCTCAAATTTTCTCATTATGATGAAAGAAAAGAGTTATCAAATATTTTAAAAGTATTTTACAACTTAGGAAAAATTTGGTAAAAAACGAACTTTAAACTTTAGAAATCTTTAGATGAAATTTATTAGTACAAGTGTATTAAAATATTTTTGAACAAAATAAGTTAAAAATTCGCTCAGCAAAATGTTCAAGTTGAAGATACCAGATGTGTCTGATTAGAGGATATATCTAATTTTCATAAAGAAAAACGGTGTGATATTTGAAAATTTTGTTTTCAATTTAATAATTTTTTTAAAAAATAAAGAAATATTTTATTTAGTGAGGATGGTAATTTTGTTTTGAATTTAATATTGTAGTTACGATGGTAAATAGGTTTCTCCTATTAAATATTAAATTCAAAACAAAATTACCATCCTCACTATATATTTTCTAAGTTGTTAATATTGACGTTGAAAAGTCGTGTGCATGGTTTCTGAATTGAGTGGAATCGGGTCTCTTTGTAGCTCAATTGGTAGAGCATCTTACCGGCAATAAGAAGGTTCTGGGATCATACCCCAGCAGCGAGAGGCGATCCACTTTTTTCAGAAGCCATGCACGAAAATATTTGTACGAGTTTCGTACATACAAATTTGACTGTTGGTCAATAAAATTTCTACCTTATCAGATATGATTAGGTTAATCTAATGAAATACTTAATAGGAGAAACCTATTTACCATCTTAACTGAAATATTTTATTTATAGGTACATACATTTAAGTAATTTTATGAATTAATCGTAAATTAACTTTCAGATGTAAAGTTTTTTCTTTAAGTAATAATCTGTTTGTTTTTATCTAAAACTCAAAATAAGTTAAAGATATTTAAAAATGAGTATTGTACATGAATCATTTTGAGTCTGTAGATTTTTTTTGTGTGATACATAAATATTAAAATTTGTTTGTCCCTTAGTTTTTCGATAGAATACGAAAGGAAAGACCAAATTTTGCAGACAAATTAATCCCAGTAACAGGTGATGTGGGAGCTGAGTCTTTGGGGCTTTCTCCCTTGGAAAGAAAAGTTCTTGTCGAAAGAGTATCAATTGTATTTCATGTCGCTGCTAATGTTAGATTTGACGACAGTTTGAAAAATGCAACTTTTGTTAATACCAGATCAACCAGAGACATTTGCATTTTAGGATCACAAATGAAAAAACTCGTGGTACGTTATATTCAAGATTATTTAAAATTTTTTTAAAAATTCATTATATACCTACTAAAGAAATTTTAATTATTTGTGTTTATAATATTTTTCAACATTGTTTTAATTAGGCCTCGCCTTAATATCTTATAATTTAATAAATATTATCTCAGTGGGCAAAAAACCATGTTCATTCAAAAAACGTTCTTAAAACGTTTTTAAAATGTTTCATGTCAGCCAAATAATGTTCTAGAATATTATTTGAACATCCATGTTCTTAAAATGTTTTAGAACATTATTTGACGAACACGAAACGTTTTTAGAACGAACATGGTTTTTTGCCCATTGAGATTAATATATATATATCATTTAATAAGTAATAAGGTTAATTATTAAAATGGTATATTTCTATAATGACTGAGTAAAAACCAAACTTTTCACAAATAAAACGTGATAAACATAAGCAATAAATATTCTCTATTACAAAAAATATCTAACACTTCTCGAGATTTACACACACCCAGAGAAGAGTTTCTTTGTTTCAAAGAACATTTCTTTGAATCAAAGAAATATGTGCATTGTTATGGGGTCAAAAAAAAGATTCTTTGATTTAAAGAAATTATTTCTTTGCCTATTTTTTGTTGGCTCAAAGAAATCTTTCTTTGGATTTAATAAATCTTTTATTTAAATCAAAAAAATATTTCTTTGAATTTAATAAATCTTTTTTATTTAAATCAAAGAAACATTTCTTTCCATTTAAAAAATTTTTTAAGTGAAAGAAATAAATTGCTTCCTCATAGAGGAAGTATTTTTGTTTTAATGTGGAAATTTCTTTGAATCGAAGTTATATTTTTTGTTTTAATAAATATATTATTTAAATTAAGGTAAAATAGCTTTAAATATATACAGAAATATTTCTTTTTTCTAAAAATTATTTTTTTTAATTAAAAAAAATTATTTTGATTTAATAAAATTATATTTTTGTTTTAAAATTTTGTGTTTCATATTTTTATTCAAAAGTAAAAATTATTATATAATTAAATATTTGAAATACTTAAAAACGTATTTTAAAGACAATTTATTAATTTTTTTTAATTATTAGGTTTAATCTATAAAGAAAACACAATTAAAATGAAAATTTCATACAATTAAAATTTTTGTCAGTGATTTTTTTATTAGAACCTTTTAAACACATTATAAACGAAGTATGCATTACGCATAAAAACACATTGAAATACAGAATTTTTTTTTACTATAACTATAAATACTTTTAAATCTGTAATTATTTGTACTACCATTTTTTTTCTAACACTTCCTGGCAGAATTTAATTTTCTTATTTATATATGTACACCTACATTTCAAACATTATACTAATTAAAAAAATAAAATCCATATTAAATATATTACTAAAAAATTTGGAAAGCATAAGAATAATTGAAAATAATAAGAATTGCTTGTGAAAGCATGAAATTCATAAGTAAAAAATTGTTCAGACCAAGAAAGTGAGGTTATGCGTACATCGATGACTTTAACTGTTTTTATATTGGGATCTGAAATCATAGGGAATTATGGAGAAACTGACCTCGTTGCGTCAGCCATCTTGATTTTTTATCTCTTTCTTCTACATATATTTTAAAAAGGATAAAACGAAAAATGGCTGACACAACGAGGTCGTCACCAGATGGCGTATCGCAGTATTTCAGATCCCAATTCACATGACTTAACATAAAACTTTGGGATTGTATCGGCAAACCCCCAAGTACCAAGAAGTTGACAAACTTTTTTGTCGCTCATTTCGAAATTTATCACCAAACTGTTTAATCCATGTATAATCACACCACTTGTTACACGATGAACACGCTGTTGCCACGGGCGGTTCAGTCTACGCGTAGTCGCGGTAACCCCGGCGGTGACGACGTATGAGTGGAAGAAATGTTTCTTTAATTTAAAGAAATACTTTTTTGATTCAAAAAAAATACATCCAACAAATAATTTCTTTAAATGCACTTGGCTTCTTATTTGTTTCAAAGAAATTTTTTTTAGATCAAAAATATCAGTTAAAGAAAAAATTTCTTTGATTCAAAACACTTGAAAATTTTTTTTTCGTAAAAGTAAAGAAAACTTTTTTGAACTCAAAAAAATTTTATCTTTGATTCAAAAAGTGATTTTAAAAAAACGATTTCTTTGATTCAAAGAAATCTTTTCTATAACACCTGTCGTCAAAACCTCGACTTAAAAGTAGTTTTTTTATCATACTACGACCTAAAAGAGGGGAAATCTACTTTTAAGCACAGGTTGGTCCCCACTATCAATCTTTCTCAACAGTGCTACCAACTTGATTTCTCCTTTAGTTGCTGCGAAGTCACTAGATCGCGTCTACCACAGTTTGCGTCATTCGTGATTAGAATCTCGTTCATTCTTTATCGCCAGTTTTTTATACATATTTTGTTCAAAAATTTATTATTCTCATTATGGAGTCGCAAGAAAGTGTTAACGGAAGTGTCGGAACTCTTTTCAAATCTGCAAAGGAGCAATTAATACCGAAAAAATCGAAGCATGTGTACATAACCTCTTATGAACACTTCAAAACATGGCAAAAAGAGAAGAATTGTTTGTCAATATCCGAGGAAGTTATTATGGCGTATTTCGAAAATCTATCTGCAACAAAAGCACCGTCCACATTGTGGTCCACGTATTCAATGATTAAAAAAATGATTTGTCAAAACGAAAATGTAGACATTAGTCAATACGGAAATTTAATCGATTTATTAAAAATAAAAGCTAAAGGTTTTCAGCCAAAGAAGGCACAAGTTTTGACACCAGAAGAAATCAACAAGTTTATAAACGATGCCCCAAATTATCAATATTTGGCAACAAAGGTATTTACAAATTAATTCAACAAAATAACTAAAGTTTAATAATATTTACAAATAAGTATATTTACAAATAAATAACTAAAGTTTAATAATATATACAAATAAATATATTTACAAATAAATTATCAGGTTACAATAAATATTACATTTTTAAAAATAAAAATATAAAAATACAAATTAATAAATAATACGATAAATTAATTTAACTTAATGTGTACAAATAAATAGCTAAGTTGTATTTACAATTATATTGACAAGTTATAAAATATAAAATTTTTAAAAATATTAACAAAACATAATAAAATGAATTTATTTTATAAAAATGATATGCACAAATAAATAGTTAAGTTATATTTACAATTAAATCAATAGGTGGCTTTAATAATTGGCGTTCTTGGAGCTTGCAGAAAAGACGAATTGCACAAATTATCCATAAGTGATATTATTGATCGTGGATCCTTGTATTCAGTTACACTGCCAATAACCAAAACAAGTGTTAAGCGGAATTTTGTTATTGAAGGACTCTTCTATAATACAGTAAAAGAATATATTTCTTGTCGACCAAAAGATATTCAGTGCAGCAATTTTTTTCTAAATTGGCAGAAAGGGAAATGTACGAAGCAGGTCATAGGTGTTAATAAATTTGCTAGTATGCCACAAATGATTGCTAAATTTTTAAAGTTGCCTCAGCCAGAATTGTACACTGGACACTGTTTTCGACGATCATCAACAACAATTCTGGCTGACGCAGGTGCTGATTTAATTACATTAAAACGACATGGAGAGTGGAAGTCGAACCAAGTAGCACAAGGGTATATTGAAGATTCGATGGAAAATAAAAGAAAAGTCGGTAATATGATTTCGAAATCCATTTTGAAAACTTCAACTTATATTAACACTGAAACTCAACCATTAAGCGAGGGAGTCAATGTCGCTGCATCAACTTCTAAACAAACTCTGCCGGTAATCAATAAAGAAATTCAAAATACTTCTAATATTATGCAATCCTCAGGCTCGGATATTCTACGTATGGTCAATTGTCAGAACGTTACTATTAACATTTTTAATGAAAATAAGAAATAAGTATTCTCCTTTATTAGTTTGTCCCTTTGAGAAGCTTTTTATGTTACAAATATTCTTATTTACTTGAAGAGAAATAATTTTTTTTTAAAAATAAGTATTAAAGTAAAATAAGTATGTACAATACTTATTATATTATCATTTAAATTATACATTGAAAAAATTTAATATAAATATTTTAAAATGTTATATAAGACTGTTTTGAATCTAAATAATACGACAAATAATTATTTAAATAATACGATAGTATTTTAAATACCAAAGTCTTAGAAGAAGATAACTAATGTGATATTTTGATATTTATTAATATAATTATATAATTGTTATTTGTCAATAAAATAAAACATTTGATATAAAAATTTCTGATTTATTAATTTCATCATACATTCTAAACGATATTTTAATTTTCGATTTTTTTTTATTAAACAGTTTTTTTAATTTTTAAAATAAAGTTAATAATACACAAATAACTATTCTCTGGGTGCATAGATATTAAGCTATTATAAGGTCAACTGCTTCATTAATAATATAATACAAGTATAATTTATAAATTTCCACCTCTAGATGCATTAAAAAGTTTTCAATTTAAAAAATTCATCACAAAAATTTTGTAATATAAATCACGTTTTGATACACACAAATTGTATTTTTTTCTATAGTTAATCACAGGCTGCTTGATCCCCCCTCCCCCAGAAATTTTACGTAGTTTATGAATGATCCCTAGGCCCTACTGCCCAGTGGGAAATTGCCAGGACTGAATATTGGCTAAATATTGGACCAGTTATTTTTACCAATATTGGTCTAATGCTGGGAGTGTAGAGACCAATGCCAAAGCTCGAATATTAATATTGGGCCAATACCCGGCAAGAAGCCTGGAATAGATAAGAATTAAAGTTATCTCATATTCGTATACGAAATTGAAAAATTTTAATTCCATTTAATACCTGATTTTTCCACTTTTTCGAAGTCATCGAAATAAGATAGATGGCCAACGAAATGAATTCCACTTAATTGTAAAATCCATTTTGCATTACGTTAAAGTCGGTAAGTGTGTTTTCTATTATAATGACAATTGGACATATTTTTGTGCATCGAAAATAATTCGCTTATCATTTTATTTAGAAGTAATAGTGAATAAATTTGTTGTGTTTTTTTTCTTCAATGTGAAAATAATAAATAATTTACAGTGAATATGATGTTTGTAAAGGGCTTTCCATAAACCACGTATTCCTCTTTTTGCAACTTTTTGACCCCTCCCTCCCCCTACGTGGCCAAGAGTGGTTTTACACTCACCCCCCCCCCTCCCCCCTATTGTGGCACGTGGCTTAAACGTTTAATTTTATTTTATCACATTCGTACATATACGAATGTCAGTATTTAATTTTTAATTGTAATATAGTGAAAAAGAAGGATATTAAAAATTAGATTTCATAAAGCTTAAAAGACTGTTTTTTTAATTTTATATTTATATCACCATATTTTTATATTATCACATTTTAATTATAAATAAATTACCTCGTAAACGGAGGTAGAATCATACCATAAAGTATTTTAAAAAGTTAACAAGTAATACTGAACTGTATAAATTGTTATATTGTTTAAACACTAGAAATCTGACATTAGATGTAAACAAACACAGGTGATGAGGAGTGAGCGTGAGAACATGCGCGAGTCGCTTTAATGCGCATGAGCGCGATTATCCCGCGTAAATTCGAAAAATGATGTAAAATCTCAAAACCACGTGTCCCGAAGTGAAACCCCTCCCCCCCTTCGTGGTCAAGAGTGGCATTTTACTGACACCCCCCCCACCCCCTGAATGGACCACGTGGTTTATGGAAGACCCCTAAAAAGTTTAATAAATTTAAACGTGAAGCATCAATAATTTAACATATATTTTGACTCGACATTTTTTAGGTTATTCGTTGAATATAAAATAGTCGCCTTCACTTTTTTAAGGAAAAAATGTGTATTATCAGTAAAAAAAATAACAAATATTTTTTTCAATAAATAAATTATTAATAAAACATTTTTTATTCATTCAAATATATTCTATTTATATTCTATTTCATATTGCACGCTTTACAAAAACGGAACTAAAAGAGATTCAAGTTTGCTGCTGTCTATTCCTTACATAGACTTACGAAATAACAAAAAAATCAGGTATTAAATGGAACTGATTTTTTTAATTCTTTTTAATTCCAGTCTTCTTGCCGGGTATTCAACCAATATTCAAAAATACAAAAAATCAGACTTCTGCGAAGATTAAAAAAAAATGAATTATTAAAACATCAAGGGTTATATATAAAATCATCCGCAATAAACGAAGAAAAAGAAAAAAATATTTTCTAACGTCCTGCTGGGCATTAACAATTATCAGCTAAATAAAAGAGATATTGTGAAGACTCTGTACATATCGCGGATACTTATACCCTAACCGATTGATGTTGTTTATGAGAGAGAAAAACACTGCCATCTGGCGGATAGTTAAAAAATTAACGTAGCGCGAAATTCAAACTACATGAAGGAAAAACTGTAAGTATAAAGAATTAAAATTAAAAAAATTATTTGTAATCATTATAACATTAATTAAGTTTTGTTTAATGCAATAGTATGCATTCTTAAGTAAATACATTTTCTAGTAAATGTTTATATATATACAATTTTTCCTTCACGCAATTTGAATTTCGCGCTACGTTAATTTTCCAACTATCCGCCAGATGGCAGTGTTTTTCTCTCTCATAAACAACATCAATCGATGGGGGTATAAGTATCCGCGATATGTTTAGAATCTTTACAATATCTCTTTTATTTAGCTGATAATTTTTAATGTCTAGCATGACGTTAGAATTTTTTTTTCTTTTTCTCCGTTTATTGCGGATGATTTAATATATAACTCTTGATCCGAAGGGAAATAATAATCTTATTATATATAATAAAATATAATATCTAAATATATCAAAAAATTTTATTATATTTTAGTTTTAATAATTAATTTTTTTAATCTTGCCTGAAGTCTGATTTTTTTGTATTTTTGAATATTGGGCCAATATTGAAATTCGAGCCTTGGCATTGGTCTCTACACTCCCACACTTGGTCCAATATTGGCTAAAATAATGGACCAAGATTGGCAAAAGTGCTCTTATTATTGGACCAATATTCAGCCAATCATGCTTTTTCCATTGGGTGACGAGTAACTCTTGTTCGAATCATTTTTTTATATTTTATGTAGATATTATAGACTTTTTAGACACCCTGTATATTTTCTTGTTATAATTTACAACATGCTGAAAATTCTAAGCTTAACATTCAGGTCAAACACCTGTTTTAATAAATAATTCATATTACATTGCAAAATTAATAAATTATTCACAAATTTATTGTTCGCCGACTATTTGTAATAATTAATACCTGCGATGAAGCATAATGGCAAACTTCTGATGCTTAATTGTCTAACTTTGTTATTTTCACATTAATTAAAAGTTTATAAAACAGAAAATTTTTTTCTAATATCTCATCTTTCATTAAAAAAATAAAAACGTTCCAATATCACCCCTATATTTTTTTTTTAAAAATTGTTTTTTTAGTAGTTCAAATCTACAGTTCTTCAATTCTCCCTGACCCCGAGGCATATTGGCGCAAAATAGAATACTATAGAATAAAAAAATTATCGTATATTCCAGGCACTTGTTCACGTCAGTACGAGTTACTCTCAAGCAGATAAACCATGTGTTGAAGAAAAAATTTATCCCATTGATGTGGATTGGAAAAAAACAATAAAAATTGCTGAAAATGTTGATGATCATGTGTTGCGAATCTTGACACCAAAGTAAACAAAATATACTAAACAATTAATTAATAATACTATATAATAAGCAATTGATTTCGTTATAGCAAATTTATCTGCATTAATTTTTTTACGTTTGGAAAATTCTAATTTTTTGGGTTATTATCATTTACGAAAAAAAATTATTCTAGTATATTTTACATAACTAATTAAGGAGAAGCAAATATTAATAATAATTTACTTAAACTAAGTGTTCATTTCATGACCATTTAGCTTCCTCATCATGATACACTTATATTCAAGATTAAAAGAAGGATTACAACTAAAATTGCGATCAATTTTATAAATATTAGTAAAATGTAAAATTTATATACCTCAATCGATTTGTTTTTATGCCAGGAATACAATTTTGACAAGAATTAATTAAAAATTTTATATCAGAAAAAGTTATTTCAAAAAATACAAAAAACAATTATTTTCAAAAATTCAAAAAATGATTTAATCTATAGATTTTAGTAAAATATGAACTTTATATAGGCTAATCGACTCGTTTTAATGCAAGAAATAAGTTTTTTTACTAAAAAAAATTAAATTTACAAAGAAAAAAATATTTTGAAAATTTTTTTTTTTGAAATTTTGAAAAAATTGTAAAAAATAAAATGTTGTGAATATATTCGGAAATCCTTGTGTCAGATTTTAGGTATTAATGATTACAATAAGCATACAAAATTTCAGGATAATCCGTTAAAAAGTTTCTGAGATAATTTGTACACAATATTTTGTGACATACACACACACACACACATATATCTGGACATTTGCTTAGGACTTCACATATATTACTTGTAGATGAAAATGAGTCCATATAACCCAATTTTAAAAAATCGAAAAACGTCACGAATGCAAAGCTTCGTCATGAGGAAGCAAAATTCAAAAATTTTTTTGCTAGTACTTGATAATATTATTTTCTCATCCTTCTGAAATTTTTTTAATTAGATACATGGACAGTTTTCCAAATACATATACTTTTACAAAGAGACTTGCTGAACAAGTGGTGAATGACTATTCAGAATCTATACCATCTGTTATATTTAGACCATCCATAGGTGAGATAATTTAAAATTATAATCCAAATTTGCTTTCAACATATATCTTTTTTTATTTATAGCTTTTGTCAAAATAGAAAAAAATTTAAAAATAATTTTTCTCAGCAATAATTACTTTTAGTTATATCAACACTTTATGAGCCCGTTGAAGGATGGATTGATAATTTTAATGGACCTGTAGGGATGTTGGTCGGGGGTGGAAAGGGATTATTAAGAGTGATTCATTTAGACACTAAAATCATCTCTGATTTCATTCCCGTTGATGTTGCAATAAAAGCAATGTTAATTGCAGCTTGGAAGAGAGGACTTCAGACGTAAGATTATTATTTTTTGTGTTATTTCTGTAACATGCGGTGGATTTCACGTCAAATGACAACTTAGAAAAAAAATTTCTGTAACACTTTCTGGCAGAAACTCGACTAAAATTATAATTCTACCGCATCATAATGAGAGAAAAGAAGTGGAATTACAAACTTTACTTTACCATCGAGGTCTTTTAACAAGGTCTAACAACCTAACATAAAAATTTATTACAATTAGGCTGTTTCACTATATCGAGATATTTTGAGTTCGAGTGTGACGTCAAATAGCTGGAAGGAAAACAAACAGACGACACAATATTATTCTTATAGACCTTTCCAAGCTGATCGTTCTGTTCTTATCTAGCGCATACAATGACGCATGAGTTGGAAGAGGACAGAATGATCATCATGAAAAGGTCTATGGAAAAAAAAATTTGTTTCCACTTTTATCAATTTTGCTCATGTTTTAAAAACGGTTTTAGAAAACAGTGTTGAAATATAATAAAAAAGTTAGTTGATAATTAACTTTGATATATATTTGAATCAATTGCATTGGTAGATTCTCTGAATTCGTGATTAAATATAAATTTTGAGGTTAGGGGTGTTTGTTTACTCAGCTTATTTTACATTTTTTTTTAGATTTTTCTACGTACACCTTTTTAAGGTTTTTATGCTCTCTATCCCCCATCTTTAACCTCACTTTTGAAAACCCTTAATTCCCAAATTGCGGTCCGTAGCCGATTTTTATTAGCGCTAGAAGTATTCGCATTTGCCTGACCCTTTCTTGATCAGAGTAGAGGGAAACTACGGAAAACCTCTACTGAATACAGCCGGTTTATTGACTGTCGAGTTTTGAATGTACATTTAAATAGTCATTCAAATGCACAAACATATCCTCGACGCCAAACCTCCCGCTTGATATATCTCGATCACAGTGAAAACACCAGAGCTATAGCGAGCACCGAGGCAGTCACCCATCCAAGTACTAGCCGTACTCAGCTGTGCTTAACCTCAGAGATCGCAAGCCAAGGCGCTTCACCGTTTTTTTTTTTTTTTTTAAACAAAGTTTATTGATCTATATACAAATATTTACGGGACGCATGATTATGTTCTAAAAATCATTAGTCATAATTTACATTTTATCGAATTTTATTTGTCCTAATTAGTTTTAAGCCGGATTTTTATTTGTTCGAAATAACATTTGGCATAATTTACATCAAAGCGATTTTTTATATTACAGAATTTTTATATAACGGAAAATTCAACTCACAGAATTTTTATTTTTTCGAATTTTCATTTAACATAATAGGCATTTTAAAGAATTTTTATTGGGTAGAATTTCATTGAATATGTTGGCAAACACAAAAGTGACGAAAACACTAGTGACGCTATGTTTGCCATAAATCAACGCGCGAATTCGAAATGGTCTTCGAAGAACTCCGCGGGAAACAATCGTCAAAACAAACAAGATTCCGACTCGAATAATCGGAAAAAATCAAAGTGCGATTTTTGTGGTAAAACGAACCACAGAACCGCGAAATGTTTTCAGCGAAAAGCAGCCAAAGGTGATAATGCCAATGCCGTCGACGACATATTCCTCGCGAGTGAAATTACTGATCGTCGACAAGATTCCTCGTATAGTACCACGATGACTGAAGATTGGTGCCTTGACAGCGGTAGCACATCTCATTTGTGCAACAACGCACATCTTTTTACCGATTCGCATGAAGTGAAATCCGGCGTAAGAATGGCTAGTGACGCGACAGCCGACGTGACGGCAAAGGGTAAGGTTCGTGTAAAAGCTTCTGATGGGAAACGCGACAAAACTTTTATGCTACAAAACACGCTTTATGTGCCAACATTGCGCACCAACTTAATGTCAGTTTCGAAAATTGTTGACAGGGGTAATAGCGTTATTTTCACAAAAACGGACGCAAAAGTAAAAGATGAATTCGGTAATGTGAAACTCGTTGCAAGTCGCAAAGGTGATCTGTTTATCGTGCATTCTGAACCCGAAGTCGCAAATGCCAGTGTTGTGCAAAGTGAAAATTGTGATACAAACGAATGGCACAAGCGATTGGGACATTTAAACAGAAGAGATATGAATACTATGTTTCGGAAGGAAGCAGTGACTGGTCTAAAATTCGAAACAGACAGTGAAGTTCTCCCTTGTGACACTTGTTCTGCAGGAAAAATCAGCCGTGCCCCTTTCCCCAAAGGAAGTCAAGGAACCTCTTCCCTTCTCGAAGTCGTGCATACGGATTTGTGCGGCCGATGAGAACGCGTACTCAAGGCGGACCTCGTTACCTTTTAACCTTTACCGATGATCACAGCCGATGGTCGGAAATTTATCTTCTCAAGGACAAATCCGAACTAACCTCGAAATTTATCGAATTCAAAAGCGCTGCCGAGAACCACACAGGCTTAAAAATAAAAGCCCTTCAATCCGATAACGGGACCGAATTCCGTAACACGCGCATGGATCAAATTTTACGAGGATCAGGAATAAAGAATCGACTGACGGCACCATACACTCCGCAGCAAAACGGCGTTGCGGAACGCAAAAATCGAACTCTCATCGAACCAGCTCGATGTATGTTGATTGATTCCGGGTTGCCGATGTCATTCTGGGGGGAAGCAGTGACTTCAGCAAATTACATTAGAAACTGGTGCATCACCAAGTCATTAGGCGCTGTAACGCCACACGAAAAATGGACCGGAAAACGACCTGATCTGAGACACCTCAAGAAATTCGGAACCAAAGTGTATTTTCACGATAAAACTCCGAATAAGGACATAACTCGTGACGTCGTTTTCACAAATGAATATTCAACCACGAGTGATCAATTGGAATCAACATCTACTCGAGAAGTCGAATTCATTCCCATCCACAATGCTTCCGATAACATCCCTGTTGTCAATGAACCAGCTGCAATTCCTGAAGCTCCTGCAGTCGCAAATGATCAGATAGCTGAAAATCAACAGAAAAGAGGACCCGGCTGACCAAAAAGGATAAAGACCAGAAAACGAGGACGTCCCGGAAAGCAATACAACTTGGTATCAACTGCTTCTAGAGATTCTGATCAAGAAGAATCATCCGACCCTAGAGATCCTGAACAAGAAGAATCATCCGAACCAATTGCTCCTGAATATGTCAATCAACAAGAGTCATCCGAATCAACCGCTCCTGAAAACGATGTTCAAGAGGAATTGAACTGAATGATCAAGTGACGAAGAGGAATTCCGTGGGTGGGATCGTGATGTTTGTCTAGCCATGAGTGCCTCTGAAGTTCCCCTTCGAGATGCTCTGTCTGGACCAGATGGTGACGAATAAGAGGACGCGATCTACAGTGAAATCAAGAGCCTTGTTTTAAATCAAACATTCGAATTAGTCGACAGACCAAAAAACGAAAAAGTTATCAAGTGTCGGACTATTCTACGAAACAAATTCGGACGGAATGGAAAATTAGAACGCAGAAAGGCGCGTGTGGTAGCGAAAGAATTTGCTCATATGCCCGGAGTACAATTCTTCGAAACCTTTGCACCAGTCGCGCGTCTTAGCTCATTGAGATTAATGGTCGCATTAGTCGCGAGATTCGATTTAAAAATTACCCAATTAGATATCGAGACTGCATATTTAAATGGAGAGATGGATACAACGGTGTACATGGAGCAGCCAGATCTTCTACCTGAAATGCTCGAGAGAATCATCAAGAATGAAAATTCCGAACTTTCAAGAAGAGCCAGTGAGATGTTGAACCAGATAACTGACAACACCAAGGTTTGTAAGCTGAAAAGAGCGATTTACGGTTTGCGCCAGGCCAGTCGTCAATGGTACACCAAATTGGATGCTGTTCTTCGAGGAATCGGTCTGAAACCGACCAATGCTGATCCGTGCGTCTACGTCGACGAAACTGGAGAAACTTTCCTTTTAGTATATGTGGACGACATTCTCTTGTTCTCGAAAAACTCGTCAAAGGTAACACTAATCAAAAATCGACTTTCCAGAGAATTTAAGGTCAAGGACCTCGGGGAAGCCCAACATTGTCTTGGGATAGAGGTGACACGTTCGAGGGAGAGTATTTTCTTATCGCAGACTACCTACATCAAGGAAGTTCTGAAGAGATTCAAAATGGACGGCTCAAAACCTGTCAGCACTCCAATTTCCGCAGGTACCAAGCTGACCAAAGAAGCGGATGATCGTTTACAGGATACCGCGTTCCCATACAGGGAATTAATAAGCGCATTGATGTACGTCGCTCTGGGTACTCGTCCTGACATTGCGCACGCTGTTAGCGCACTTTCACAGTTTAGCAGCAACCCCAAACGAGAACACTGGTCTGCAGCCAAGCGTGTCCTTCGATACCTTCAGGGAACCGCTGATCAAGGTTTGAAATTCAAAAAGGGATCTACTGGTTTGAAAGCTTATGTGGACGCTGAATGGGCCAACTGCGCTGTCGACAGGCGATCTTATACGGGATCCGTATTCATCTTGAACGAAGCCGCAATTTCGTGGGAGTCACGAAAACAACGTACAGTCGCTCTGTCCTCTACAGAAGCGGAATATATGGCCACATCGCAAGCCGCTAAAGAGGCCATACACATTATCGGTTTTGTCAAAGAACTGAGACATCCGGAACTCGCCAAAGTTATCATGTTCAATGATAATCAAGGGGCAGGAAAACTCGCAGGAAACCCGGTGCATCGTTCGAGATCAAAGCATTTTGATGTAAGACATCACTGCATTCGCCATGCATTGAAGGAATATCCGATCAAATTGGTCTACATTCCCACGGAAAAGATGTTAGCAGACGTACTCACGAAAGGGCTACCAGGACCAAAACATAAGGAATGTGTTTTCGGAATTGGTGTTTCATCAAACAAATGACCTCAGTGCGCGATTTCAGGGAGAGTGTTGGTGTTTGATATTCGCGCTCTTACTGTTTTATCTCTTATAAAGGACTCTTATGTCGTATATACATGCACTACACTCACACATCTATAATTCTCAC